TCAAATGACGTCTCCCTGCTGACGACCAGCCAAGTCTGCTACCTGTGGTGCGGGAAGGTGAGACCGCAGTGAGTCCAGGGGAGGCAGCCGAAGGAAGCTGAAATTGCTGATGTGGGGCTTGAGTCTCCTACCTCCACTGAACTGTGGAGGTGTATCCTTGGGCAGATACCCCATTAATTTCAATAGAGGAAGGTGCACCCAGGAGAAGGCTCCATCTGTGGAGGGTCAGCAGTAACACAGCCCTCTCTCTACAGAAGTAATCCATCTTGGTGCTCACCTCACCTCATTTTAGATGTTCATACAGCTTTCAGCTGAGTAAAGCACCCCAGGTTCTCCAGCTGTAAGATATTAGCCAGGATTAGAGCATATTCATTTATCCTGTTTTAGTCATGTGCTTCAGGATGAGATGGTATGATTCCATGATTCTGTGATTCTAAACCGAAACAGAAGATTTGCCCAGAGAAGTTGCAGATGCCCCATCATTTCAGGTGTTCAGGGTCAGGTTGGATGGGGCTTTGAGCAACCTGACCTAGTGAAAGATGTCCCTGCCCACAGCAGAGGGGTTGGACTAGATGATCTTTAAAGGTCCCTTCCAACCCAAACCATTCTATGATTGTATGAGTTTTGCTCCAGATGCCATTGGCTGCACTGAATGTCCCTTCAAGGACTAGAAATGGATTCTGAGTGACCAGATCAGATGAGACCCTCAAAAGCATTCAAGCAGGTCTAAAACTCTCCAGAGGAGGGAAGGACCAAGCCAGCTTTTCCCCATAGGTAATTTTTGCCAGTCTGTCCCTAACCACCTCAATCTCATGTCCTGAACACAGGGATGCAGTGGAGATGAGAGGGAGATGGCAAAAATGGTTGCTGACATCGTTTCCAAACGGGACAAGCACACCATTTTGGAAGGACAAGAGCCAGCCGAGTTCTGGGAAGCCTTGGGAGGCAAAGCACCTTACGCCAGTGAAAAGAGGTAATAGTGACCTGCTTGTTCGTCTGGGCTTGGCCAGGCAACATTAATCAAGGGATCAAAACTTTGCTGGAAAGTGAGTAAGCACTTTGATACCACGTCCTCACCAAAGGGAGCACCAGGTCAGAATATCACCAAAAGCTTGGTCAGAAATCACACTGAGATGTCTCTTTCCTAGTTTTTGCGTCAGGCCTTCTGTGAAGTAGGAGCTCCAGATCCAAACCCTGCAGACAAGGGTATGCTACACCCTCCTTTCCCCACAGGAAGTCCATCCTATATCTTGTTGTAAGGGCTCCATGAGCCATATGCTCCATTTCCACCATTATTAGCTTTATGGGCAGCCCCAGAAGTTTCATGAAACTAAACCTGCTTTTGAACAACCTGGATTTCTCCAGCCCTCTGGGCAGGTGACATGTTCCTTTGCAACCAAGTGATCTGATGTGGCTTTCACCTGACAGCAGGCTCATCTTCACAAAGAGAGAAGGGGTCTGCTTTTGCCCTCTTTGGGTGGAGAAAAAGTTACTTTTAAAAGCTGTTAAAATGGTCCAAGAATCTCCTGAGACCTGACATTGCCATTGCCTGACTTTCAGGCCCTCAGATGAGTGTTGCCATGTTCCCACCTCTTCCATCAAGGTCACGACAAGTAGCAGCAGGGCCCTGCGGTAAACTATGAGCAAAAGGTTTCCATCGCTCTTGTTTTTTCTTTCCCTGCCATGCATGAGGAAGGTTTCAAGAGCAAATCACACACTACCAGCCTCGCCTCTTCGAGTGCTCAAACCAGACGGGCCGATTCATCATGACAGAGGTGGTGGGCTTCTGCCAGGAAGACTTGGACGAAGATGATGTCATGCTGCTAGACACATGGGAAGAGGTCAGCACTGACTCCCCTTCTCCTCAGACATATTTTGAAACAGGTTATGTCCTAATTTGTTTGAATCCATCATTCAACGTGAAAATGAGGGTAATATGCCGTCTGTCCCATCTCCAAACCCTTCACGATGCTTGGTCAGACAAGCAGGCGTATGTCCAGTCCTTCTCACCCAGGTACAAAACACATGAGTGAGGTAATATTTCTAGCTCCAAGGCAAGATGAGCTAGACCTGCTCCAGTGTTTGCCAGCTCATACAAGGGGGTGGCACCCAGAAACCCTCCGCCTCATTTCCCAGCACCAATGGTGAGGACTTGCTTGAAGACTATTGGAAACTGACTCCGAGGGGTTTGCTTTCTGAGGCCATTTGATTTTTTGGCTATGCAAGGACTGAGTTTAGCTGCCTTGAAGCATGTGAGAGCTGCTTTCTGAAATATTTATGCTTTGGGCCTGTCTCAAAAGCAAAATCCTTCTTGGCTGGGAGGAAATCTGGGATCAGAATGCCAGGGGACTACCGGGAAACAACAATTCCTGTCTTATCTCTGTTTCAGTTGGCAGGGGTGAACAGACAGCCGTGTCTGCACAGGTCCTAACTACTTACTGATCTTCACCACCTTCTCGCCTTGCAGATTTTCCTTTGGGTTGGCAAAGCCTCCAACACATACGAGAAGAATGAGGCAATTGCCTCGGCTAAGGAGTATCTCAAGACCCATCCGGCAGGGAGAGACTTGGCAACTCCGATAATACTGGTGAAGCAGGGCTACGAACCCCTCAACTTCACAGGATGGTTCAATGCTTGGGACCCCTACAAATGGAGCGTAAGTTGCTGGAAAAGCCCTGTGATGTGCACACATGTTCAGCGGTGTTCAGAGGGTGTTATTGTCAGTCAGATAATATTACTGTTCTCTATGGTACATGGAGCGAAACCTCGCTTGACAAGTCCTGAGCTTCATGGCTTCCTGGTGCTACCTGAGCAGCTTCTACTCCTTTGCCAGCAAAAAGTACCTGTTTGGTGAAACTGAGGCTTTTGCAAATATATGTAAATGTGCTTGAATTCCCAATATTCACATTCTTATTTTAAAAAAGGTTAGGTTTCAAATCAGGTTTGTGATTTCAGCCAAAAATAGGTTGGGGCCGCTAGTAGTAAAATCAAGTTCAGAGCGAAAACAGAAGCACCCCACATCATAAAGAAAATTGAAAAAAAAATGTTCATTTTTCAAAATGCAGCTACAGAGAAAAATTTATGACCCAGCTTTAAGAGCAAACTCTGCCAAAATGAAAGATGCAAGCAGACAGGTCTTGTGTTCAGGTTTGCAGACTGCCCGTCAGAGCCCAGGAGCTCCTGAGGAAGGTCACCCTTGTTCCCTGCAAAAAAAGCCTTCTTCTCAAAAGGTGATTTACAAATACCAGCTCTCTGCTATACAGAAAGGGAAACCTGCCTCATGAGTTGCCTGGTAGAGAGAGAGGTCCTTTCTCTCCTCTTTCAAACACACAGGCTTCAAGTCATCTCAGGAGTATAATGCAGAGCAGAGATTTGCTCACGGGGCTAGTGCACGGGGCCTCACCACGTGCTGTCAGGACCCGGGCTCCAACCCTGGTTGTGCACAGCGTGGTCGGATGGAAGACGGAGCAATGCGCTCACCCCACGGCCCAGCCGGTCCAGCCAGCCTGGGGGCTCGGTGCTGCAGCACGGAGTGTGTTGGGAATAAAGGACAATCCTGGAGGGGCTTTGGTGGTTAATAGAGCCAGAGCATCGGTTCATAGCAAACGGCGAAGTGGAAACAATGCTGCCAGGCTGTGCACCTAAATTCCTGCCACCCGATGGCACTGGCGTGCACGATTTAAGACTAAAAAAAAAAAAAAGAAAGATGATGGGCAGCTGGGAAAAGCTCAGCTCCCAGGTGGTGTTTTACCAGACCCTTCCCCAGTAAGACTGTCCCTTCTCGCTCCTGTTTTATTCTGTGAACATCAGTGTTCAGCCTGTTCACAAGCAATCCCACCTTCTGGTTGCCCAAAGGGCTGTGAGTGAATCATAGAATCATAGAATCACAGAATCATTAAGGTTGGAAAAGACCCTTAAGATCATCGAGTCCAACCGTTAACCTCTCACTGCCAAGTCCATCACTATACCATGTCCTCGAGCACCACGTCTATCTGTCCTTTAAATACCTCCAGGGATGGGGATTCATGAAGTCGCATGCTGCAGCCTGCAGGTGGGACAGCGGGGCGGTGGTCCCCAGGGGACTTCACGCCGCAGGAAATCTCATACAGAGATATTATTTTTTTCCTGTAGCTGGGTTTGCATCGTCTTTGTTTGCAACTGGTGTGGTGGTAGAAAGCCCGTCTTGACAGCTGGACGTGGACAGATAAGACAGCAACTCCCAGAGCACTGACCCTTAAAACACTGTTGATGTTTAGAACAAAGGTCAAAACTTGTTTTTTTCTGAGGAACTGCTGAAAAACAAGGATATAGCTCATAAAATATGTGCCTCTAAAAATATCCCCTGTAGGCAGCTTCAGCAACTACAGACAAGCAATCCAAACTGTTGACATCCCAGAAACATCTGGTGTGTGTGTTCATTGCTCAGTTTTGGGTCTAAATCTGTTTGCTCTGCAGTCCATGTGTTTATGTTGTTTGTTCTTGTTGGGGAACTTTGTTGGATGATTCTGTTAAGAAGTGACACCTCCTGGCTGCTTAGGAAAACACAGTCATCAGCTTTGCCAATATATCTAGTATATTCCTTTTGCAGGAAATAAGAGGTAGCTGGTAATACATGGCACCAAATTACAAGAAGTCAGGGACTGAGGCTTTGAAAAATCTGTTGCTTTAGCTAAATGAATCAAGGAAGGGAAAAAAAAGCATATTATTTTATCCCAAATTTTCATGCATTGCAAGATTAATTTAAAATTTAAAAGATTTAAATCCAGCAGTAAATACGATTTCTCTTTATTTGCCTTCTGCTTTCTGAAGTCTGGAAATTTCCTGGTTTCACCTGTTACTGTACAACTGCAAGGGCTAAAGTCCATTTGTTTGTTTGTTTTCAAGCGAAAGCTCAGATTCTGGCACAGTCTCCTGATTCCATGAGCTGGGTTTTGCAGGAGGCACCAGCTGCCACCTCAATGGGCACTAGCGAGCTTTAAAATTCATACGATCTCCTCACCCCATTAAGGAACAGGAGTATGTGCTAATTAAAGGCAGCCTGTGCTTCTCACAACCCTCTTTACCTTTAGGATGGCAAGTCCTATGAGGAGATGAAGAACAGCTTAGGAGACGTGTCAGCTATATCTGAGATCAAAGTGGTGAGTGGCTTCTCGACCGTATAGGTGGGAAACACCTGGGTTTAAACACCACCGCGTCCCCCGGTCTGTTTGCACGAAGGAGAGGACATCATGATCAGAGCAGGCGTGGGGACCTCAGGCTGTCAGGATCAGAGCTGTGCTCCTCTGTGGAAGGCAGAGGGAGACATGATGAATAACCCATAAATACAGCCAGATCTCCTGGGCCTTTTCCAGCCCTGTGCAGTGGCATCTGTGGGCAGGAGACTGGCCAGCTGCTTTCTAAACCGCACACGTAAATAAAAGTGCAGCTGAGTGAGTGTGCAGTTAAGCATTGTATGAGTAATTTGCAGTGCTGTGGCCCCTGAGACCCTGGGAGATCCTACAAAACACAGAGGAAATAAGGTCCCAACAGTCCCAAATGGGGTTGTCGCGTGGGATCGGTTCTGCCCTGGGCAGGGGCAGGAGGAAGGCTGGAAGGAAGCGTCAGGGGCTCTGAACCAGGAGAGGTGGCAAGTCAGGGAGGGGTACACCGGTCATGTAGATGTTTTAGACACGGCAGATATCTAATCTCACCTTCTGTCCTCCCACACGCACCTTCCCCTGCTGTTATCTAGAGAAAAATGAGAGTACTGTATCATCAGTTATTTCTAAGGGCTCTCATCAGTGTTGTGCTTTTAGCAGTCCTCATATCCAGATGTAACACGGATGGAGGTGCTGGACTAATGTTTTAGTTCGGACTTTCTCCTTGCTGCTTTGGAGCAACAGACCAACAGTCAGTTGCCAGAAAGTCCTCCCAACCCCAACAGAGAAAAAGATCCTAGGGTAACCCCCAAGTTGTTCTGCCAGAGCTTCTTGTCTTGACACGTTTTCCTCCATTTGGCAGGACCTTAACAACATCAGCCTGAACAAGACAACCCTCAGCACGACCACCTTGGCTGGTTCAAGTACGGCAAGTGCTTCCCCAGAGTATAAATCACACTTCAACCACAGCGACAGCAACAGCTACAGCAACAGCAGCAACTACAACAGCAACAGCTCTTCCCTGGTGCCTAACGGCGAAGGAATTTACACCCGAGAGGTGCTGATGAACAAGACGGTGGATGAACTTCCAGAAGGGGTGGATCCCACTAAAAAAGAGGTGACAGCATTACTGGTTTGATGCCTTTGTAGTTTAACCTGGAACTTAGTCATTGGCTATGTGTACTAGTACTTTAGGCTATTAAGTCCTGCTTCAGGCTCAAGAAGATGCTAGCTTGGATTCATAGGTCTCATCAAAAAGCAGGAGCTTCACATGAGAAGAAATTGTGGTAGTTTTACCCTAGCTGAGGTATTTTTTTTTAAGAAAAATTAATTTTAGATAGTTAATTTTCAAACTATTTTCTTCTGGTAGAGTTGTTTAATTCTGCCACCCAACCTCTGTCCTTGGAGGGACAAAGACTCAAAAGTATAACTGCTGCGAGACAAAGTGACACAGCTGAGAATGAAGCCGGGAGTTGCATTTCGCTTTGTTTGTTTTAATTTGAAACTGCTTCCAGAAGGGGTCTCTTTTTGTGTCAGAAAGCTTGCATTTCAGCAAACCCCTCCAGGGACAGGGAGGGACGTCACGTTCCCAATTTCTGATCAGCCCAAGGATTTTGGCAACGTCTGTAGCTGAGTCCAAGCAAGCCAGTGTGGGGGACACAGGGGGCCGATTCCCTCTGCTCACTACAACCCATGTTTGACCAGTATCTTGCCCCAACAGATCTCCTGGCAAAGGCCAACACCCACAGCCAGGGAGATGACCCATGGCTGGGCCAGCAGCTCTGCCCCACAGCAAAACCCATGTGCTGATGGTTGTATTTCAGCTGGGCTGTACATGAGTGCTTTCTTTTACCCAAAATGCCACAGAAAATTCAACTTCCATTTCCCACAGGGTCTTTCTCAGTATCACTGATGAGCCTGCTGTCTACAAAACTTTCTGTCTTTCCAGCAATGGGAGTGAACATTTCCAATGGAATATTTGGGTGGGGGAACTGAGCGAGGGGAAGATGCTTTCACTGTGAATCACTACCCAAATCTTTGGCCAGCAGAACTTCTCCAGCGCACCATTAATTGTTCTGGCCTCAGTATGATTAGCAGGGACCAAATTCCAGCCAGAGCATCCTAACCCCTCAAAACCAGGGCATCCCTTTGGGGTGGTGGGCTTTTATTCCCCTGGTGCTTTGAGAAGCGGGATGAGGAACGGTTGCTGGGATGTTCCACTTCCCACCCCAAGGAGAGGCAGCGGGACAGGAGCTTTTGGCCTGGAGTCAGGGGTCAGCACTGGCACAGTGAGGAAGGGATGCAGCCGATGGAGGTGTCCCAGCCTCTGCAAAAGCCGAAGCTGACCTTTCCTTGCTCTCTCCTCCCACTGCAGTACTATCTCTCTGATGCCGATTTCCACGATATCTTTGGGAAGTCCAAAGACGAGTTCTACCAGATGCCCAAATGGAAGCAGCAAAATGAGAAGAAGCAATATGGACTCTTCTGAGACTGCAGGGGCCATCCAGCATCCAATGACTCTGGGACCAACCCTCCTCTCTTAGGAGCTGCAGGGAAGAAGTACAGACGTTTGCTCAATGAACCCAACCCAACATCTCAATCAGGCCAAGCTCCAATGCAGTTATGCCAGCAGCCACTGTTAGGGGGATGGCTCCTTTCTCCCTGCAACCCCTGAACCTAAGGAGGCAAAACCTTTTGCAGGAACGACTTTGCCGGATCTTTTTGCCTCTTTTTGACACTTTATTGCTGATAGCCATGAAGGCAAGCGTGTGTCACAGAACCGTATTCTAGCCTCTTCTTTCCTCTCCCTTTTGCAAATTGCCACGTGTACAAGGTCATGATCTTCCTTCATTTGTAGAAGTTTAAAATTAGGCAAAACAAGGGCCATTTGCAGCTGCTATGTAAATTCTGGGTGGGGAGAGGAGGGGAGAGCCCTAGGAGTACAGAGGGGGAGCCTTGAGGTCAGGAACAAGATAATGGTAGCCAGATGTGTGATGGGGTAGCCCATGGGGTGACACCAGCCAGTTCTGCCCTTTCTCACCTTGCAGAAGAACTGCTTGCCAAAGAACAAGAATCAGTTGTAGACTAACATGCAGAGCCCAGCGCAGGCAAAAGAAATGAGAACCTGGCTTGGAAAAAACCCACTTATTAAGAACGTATTTATTAGCTGATCTATTTCAAGAGGATGATGAGACTAAGGGCTAGACACAGCTGTTGATGTTGAGTGCCAGACAAGACTCGGACTATTTTTTTCTCGTTCAGACAGCATCTCCAATCTCACCTGGCCTCCCTGAGCACGACTGGGTGTAGGTGATTGTAAGAGTCCACCTGCCTGCAGTCCAGAGGCTTGGGGAAGCCAGGAGGGGTTTGGGTATGACCTGAGGCAGAGTGTGTCCCACTGAAGGTTTTATCAGGGCTCCATCCCTGGGGCTGAGAGCGCCCGCTCCGCCCTGCGAGCTTGGTCTGATTGGGGAGGGCAGGGGGAAATGTGAGTTAAGGGATACAGCTGTAAATGAAAGAAACACATGTTTATAAACCCAGAAGATGTGGTTTTGCAGCTTTACCCCATTTCCAAGCTGACCAGTGATTCCAAATAAACAGCCAGCAACATGACTGCAAGTGTCCTTGATCAGTGTCTGGGGTAGAACAGCAGGAGGAAAAAGCTCTGCAGGGCCACAGATCCTTCAAACACCTGGTCCTTAACGGGATTGGGGATTTTTTTTTTTTAAAGAAAAGAACAAACTGAGGAGGTGAGGCCCCCTCTGTTCCCAGACATCTCATAGCCAGGACCATTTGTCTCCCCATGCCATGTACCCTGCTCCTGAAGCCCCCTTGTTCCCCATGAAGAGGGGTACTTGGCCATTCTGCAGTTGGCCTGACTGCCCACCCCTGCTGCAGGGACATGGGGATGGAGCTGAGGAGCTGCAGGCGGCTGTTGGTTGAGGAACGAAGAGCTCTCACGCAACACCGGGGACCATGCAGCAGTGGTGAAGTGTCACCATCTGGCTGGAGTAGAGGCAGGGACCTCCAGGCAATGGGGTCTTCTGGACAGATCTTTGTGTTTAGGAATTGGTAGTTACTTCAAATAAGCTACAACCCCATCATTGCCTCCATGCTGCTGCCACCATTTCGTCCCATTTCTGCTTGAAGGTCCAGCCCAAAACCCATTGAACCCTTCCCCATGCAGAATAAGGTGAGAGTCAAGCAGAGACACAGGTCAGCCCAATTACCTGCATGATTGCTCCTGTTGTGTTCACACTAGATACAATCAGTGCACATTAGCCCTCTTTCAGCTTCTATTGCCACTGCTGGAAGCGACAATATTTGCATCGCCCTGCTGTGGCATGCTCCTGCCAGCTCCCAAATTAACGAATTGCACGTGCTACTCAATAAAATGCAGCGATTCCATCTATCAGCCATGACTGTAGGGCTGACGAGCATCATGGGATCAAATGGAGCGCGGTGGAAATACAGTTGGATTAGGGAGGTAAGGCTGGTTCCCTGCAAGTCGCTGTCACTCCTGCTGCCACGATGCTTACCAGCACACGTGACCGGAGTGCTCCTGCCCGCACTCGGAAACCAGCATGGGATTTTACAGATATTAGATCCCTCTGATATTTGGGCCTGTTGGAAACTGCTGCTGCTCTCCTCTTCTCATGGGGACAGTTGGTTTTACTCTCTGCCTCTGGTTTCTAAAGGAAAGCGTCTCACCCGCATCCTCCCTTTCATGCCGCTCGTTGCTCTCGCTGTGGCATCTGGTGGGCCGTGTCCTGTTGCGGCTGCTCTTTTCACCAGACCTCTTCCCTAGAGTGGGGCTCCAGCATGTCCTGATCTGCTCAGAGGTGAGGTCCCTCGACGACAGCATGGACCTTGTCCCTTCCTTGGGGGAGAGAGGACCCTTCAGCATTGTCCATCATGCTCTGGTCCATCCCACCTCCATCTCAGCTGCTTTCCCACCTGGCTCCAGTAGTTTTCCCCCAACTGTACCTACCTGATGAGGGATATTCTCTCTTCCCATGGATCTTCTCTACTTTTATGGAAGTGCACAACAGGCAGAGGAAACCCTGGCTTCTCTGTGTAGTCCATTTAAGCCTGCTCTGACCCTGGATATGCGGTTCTGCCTCCACATCTCTCCTGCTCCCTATCCCCCACTTCCCAAGTGCTGGCCACAGCAAGCAGGTGAGAGCCGGTTTAGCTCAATAATCCAACTGAAGTCTAATCCTGCAACACCAAAAACACAAATAATTTGTTCTCAGCTGACTCAGCGGGCTGATGCAACTCACCCACCAGAGCGGGTGCTGACACAAGCGAGGGGGCAGGAATG